TCATTATATCTTGTGGTGCAACTGGAGACATAAATATGGAGTGATTATTACATTCTATCGGTACACTATTATCTGTTGCAATTTTAGGTATTTCTGAGATTTGATCGATAAAGAAGTTATTAAAGGACTCAGCGATTTCCTGAGGGTCGTATATTAATTTATCATTTTTAATTATTTGAGAGATAGATTCACTTTGTGATTTTTTATTATGTATTATTTGCCACGACGTCTTTGACTTGTTTTTTGAATTTTTAAGCATGTAGTTATTTTGTGCCTTTTGAGTTAACTTAATAATATTTTTAAATCTGCGCGCGTACGTTTCAAATTTTATTTTATTTTCATCTGTTGGTTTTAGACGCTTCTGCCAAAGGAGTTGTCGCTGCCTTTTACTACAGATACGAATACCTCGTGATATCCATTTTATTTGTTTATGTGGTTTTATTAATATTGATTTATAAGGGAAACACGAGTTGTACAAAGATTTAAATATATCTAAAAAGTTATTATAAGCTAGGTTGGGATCATCTGTGTTGTATACATTAGAGAAAGATAGAGATTGGAGATAGTTATTAAATTTATTCAGATTTTCCTCGCACATGTCACGCCTTTTTATCCGCCAAGATTTAAGCTGACAAGTTTTATTTACTTTTATCTTTATTAGTTGAGCCGTATGATCTGATAAAGCGAAGTCAAATACTTCGTGGTCACATTTTTGATTTGTATTGTGTGCAAAGTTATCCAGGCAAGTAGCACTACTAAGTCTGGTCGGTTGGGTGATAACAAGTTTTAAGTTAAAACTCAACAAGCAACATTCGAAATCCAATGATATGTTGTTTTTTTTTAATGTGTCTATGTTAAAATCTCCACAAACAATAACTTTTTTATCCTTTCTAGAACATAGTATTCTTAAAATAGATTCAAATTTTTCATAAAATGTATTTAGGTTTGATAATTTTGGTGGCCTGTATACACATAAAATAATTACTTTTAATTTTATTAGTTCTATAGCGCAGCATTCTATAATACCAGCTATTGAGTATTTCGTTACATCCGGGAGTTCCCGATATTCATGACCTTTTTTAACCAGAATGCAAGCACCTCCGCGTTTTTTGTTGTGTCTTGAATAACACGCAGCGAGTTCGTAGTTCGTTATGTTCAATAATTTTTCTTGGCCAGATATTATAAAGTGTTCTGTTATACATATAATATCTAGAACTATTTGTTTGCTTACTAATTCTTCAATATGCACAGTTAAGATATCTGATTTATTAAGTAGGCCTGCAATATTTTGGTGCAAAATATGGATATTATCAAAATAGAAAAAACTTATCATTTTCGTTACAAGTGATGTGCTCTATATTATCATTTAATCCCAATCTTGAAATAACATTACTCTGCGTTTTATCTAACAGCAAATGTTGGAGGTTATAGAAAACATTTTTAATCCCACCATTATGTATTTTCCCTGTGTATCTCGAAAACATAGTGTAGTCACAAACAAGATTTAAGTTAGAGTCCAGTACAGTAGCATACTTATTTGTATGTATATCTAGAGATAACGCATTATTAAACGTTTCTACACGTATGTTGAATAACGTAGAATAATCACTTCACTTTTAAGTTGGTAGACACAATATTATATTAGTATGCTGCACTTTTTGTAAACAATTTCTTATGTCTATAATTAACTCATCATAGTTCTTAGTCACTAGAAAGTCTTCTTCACCAATTAAAACTACACAATAATCATGTGCCGAGTAGGTAGCTAGCTTCTTATGCAGGTCTTTTAGTAAATGTTGAACGCCGCCGGATGGGAAGATGATATCAGGAAAATAGCTGGCCCAGTATGGACCCGTTTAGCTAGAGACAGGGATACATGGAAATCTTTAGAGGAGGCCTTTGTCGACAGACAAGCTGTTTCACAAAAACACCTAGTTGCCGATAGTTAAAAAGCAGGTAATAAAAATTTGTATGTTATAAAGTAGGCATGTTAAAGAAAATATGTAATAGTTGATAAGAAACAGCAATAAAAGCTATTTTTTTTTTTTTTTTTTATAGGATCCATTTAAGGCTATCAAATTATTAACACGATTGTTGACGAACGGAGACGGAGTTGTCTACAAAGCAATCCACAAGCAAACAGGAGAATTAGTTGCTGTCAAACAGCTCAAGTTTTATGGGTCCGAGGAACGATTCTCTATCGCTGCTGCGAGAGAGCTGAAGCTGTCGATGTTTGTGTGGCATTTAAATGTTGTCACAGCGCACAAAGTAGCGATGGGCTCCGGTATAAAAGAAATTTACATCATTATGAAGTATCTGCCCCATGAATTGAGAAGTTTAATGGGTAAAGTACGCAACACAAAACAAACGAACGTTTTACCCAGAACACGTTCATTGCCTAATGTCGCAACTCTTGGGTGCGGTAATATATCTACACACGTACCGTATTTATTTATTTATTTATTGAATTAGGGTCTCCAATCTTAGCACACACGAGTAGCATAACAAAAATTAAAAGCTATGTGCTTCCTCAATTATAGGAGGCCACAACATGCAAAAAATCATAAAAATATACATAAAACTGGCAATACAAATTAAAAGTTAAAACAAAATTAAACTAAAAGCTAAGAACAAAACAACTGTGACTAAAAACAATACAAAATGTCAAAAATATGGCACACGTCAAATAATACACAATCAGACAAAACAATCAAATGTCGGAAATAATCAATTGAATATGGTCAAGTTTAAAATAATAATCAAAACAATAATAATAAAAATCAATTACATAATCAAAAATTATCTAATAAAATAAGAGAAGTGAGACAATCAAATGTACATTCATGGTTGTTTGTTTATGGTGTATGCGTCAACATTCAGGACTCTAAACTACGCGCAACAACATTCCTAAACTAACGAAAAGTGTTGTGGAAGATATCGATATCATCACACGTTTCCGACATACTGTTA